CTCTTCCCTCTTACTCTTCATCTTGATGATGTTGCTGCAGCTGCTGGGCGTGGACCGATGGAGGTAGCCAGAGCGGCGTTGAAGTGGTACGGGTGGGCGAAAGATCAAACGAACAATGGAGGATCAGGCAGCCTGATCCTTGCTTGCTCGCTCGCCGGGAGGCGTGGAGAAGAGCGTGAAGGCCAGCGGAGGCAGGAAGGGTCTCGGTGCTCTGGGAAGCCACAAAAACGACTGTGGAGTGCCAAGAACCTTTCTGCCCCCGCTGGACTTCGCGCTCTTCTCTGTGTGCTCCTCGCAACTGCAATAGACGTCCAGAAGTGGCTTTTGGAGTTAATGGGGCCTGGGCTTCCAGCCCGACAGCCCCCGCCGCTTCTGGACATCTATTGCAGTCGTGAGGAGCATGCGAAGAAGAGCGCGAAGTCCAATGGAGGCAGGAATGCAAAAATGATGCCTACTATTCCCTTATAAGGGGAGCAAAGAAAACTGCCTGGGTCCCTGCTCCCTGCCTCACCTGTCTGGAGCCGCCGAAAGCTTTAGACTCTGGCAGTGGTGCTGGTTTTGTGCCACTTCGGCGTCCCTGAAAAGTGACTCTGCATTCTCCCTTTCCTTCACCACTCCTCCCTTCAAAAGCCATGAGGTGCTTTCTTAGTGCTGGTTGCCCAGCTGGCATGGCCCCACGCGCACGCCTCCTCCTCCTCCTCCATCCTCCTCCTCCTCACTCCCCAAAGGCTCTTCTTCTCCTTCCTGCAGCTTCTTCTTCCTCCTCCTTCCCGCAGCTTCTTCTTCCTCCTCCTTCCCGCAGCTGTTCGAATCTCACCAGGCTCAAGGTTGACTCAGCCTTCCTTCCGAGGTGGGTAAAATGAGGACCCAGATTGTTGGGGGAAATAGGCTGACTCTGTAAACTGCTTAGAGGGGGCTGTAAAAGCACTATGAAGCAGAATATAAGTCTAAGGGCTATTGCTATTATCCAACAGTGCACTTAATATGATGAAACACAGTGTGGCAATTTCAGGAACACTGGCAAAGGAGGCCTTCCTGAAAAAGGGTTGAAAGTGTCAACTTAAAAAAAAATCCCATTCTAAATGCATTTTGGACCTATTACAACTCCCCCCCCCCCCTTTCTGTTTTTGCAAATATTCCTTCAGTTTTATTTTTATCCTAAAAAAAATCATTCTAAACCTAAAATTACTTGTTTGGCCTCCCATAGCCATGGAGGTCTTATGGAGAGAGAGAGAGGTCCTTTGTCATTTCACCATCTGGATGGGATTTTTAGTTGTGGCAACTAGGTTATTTTATTTGTTGTTATTTGTTGAGGTCGTTATTTGCATGATGGCTCACCTAACAATTCTCTTCCCTTCTGTAGTGAGAATTTCTTGTCTTTTGGTGTTTTGCCCATTTGTTGTGTTTTGTTTTTTTGTTTGCTTGCCTCTGTTTTCCCCTCGCTCTGCTTTTAGATTGATTTTAAATTCTTCTTGTTGTGAGTTATGTTTCAGCCAAATCCAGTTTGTGCTTTTCTATTTTACTCTGATTTATCTTGTGTTTTAACTTCTGTTTCTGATCTGCCTTGAGGCTTCCAGATGGGCAGAAAGGAAAGATAGAAATGATTTTATAAATAATGAAGGGCAAAGGGAGAAAAAACAATGGAAAAGGCCAATGCCTTTAGTAAAAGAAGCTGTTGTAATGAGATTTGGCCAATACCCCAACCAACACCTTTGCCATCTTTCCATCTTATGATATGCTATTTCTCCAGCTAATAAATGATAAATGCCAGAGTTCTTACAATGAAAACAATGGTCTATAGGTACCAACAAGTGGAACCCTCTCCTCCTGCTCCTCCTCCTCCTCCCCCCTCCTCCTGTTTCCATGGTCAATGCTGTCCCCCCCACCTTATAAAATGCTGAACCATCCTGTTTTACCCATCTTCATACATATCCATAACATAAAATTACCTATTTCTTTTTTGTTTATCATTTTTATGGTGATTTTGGAAAGAGTTGAAATAGCTGCTTGTGAAATGGGGAACAGAAAGAAAGTGACGCTGACGCTATAGTATAGTCCAGCTATGTAATAAAAAATGCTATTTCTGCTAATATATATAACAAT